TTATTTATATTACATTTATTATTATATAAATATATTTTTTTTTCCAAGGTTGCGGTCACCCATCCTTAACACTGACCCCGCGGAATGCAGCTTGACTTTGATAGCCACCGAACACTCATCCTCCCGAGTTCCCGTTTCGCTCCCGAAAAAACTTTGCATTCTTATAATACTTAAATCCAGAGTAACTATACTAAATCTACCACAGGCATTTAACATAAAATAGTCACCGTTTCCATACTTCCTTATCAGCGAAACACAATAAAATACCAATTCCATAAAAATAAAATTTCACCATTAACTGAACATACATCGTAACCTTAACGAAACAAAAATCACTTCACCAATGTCGCGCTATTCTAAACGAAACAATAAAACACTTGCTCATCTCATAATTCTCCAACAATCTTCTCCGCCCGTTACATACAGGTACGCTGAATCTTCTATTCTCGACAAAGTAACAGCATCTCTGTACGACGCGTTTCCCCGATGAAAAACAATAACCCCGACCTGGCGGAGCGGAATCTTCGGTTAAGAGTTCGATCACGTGTAAGCAGAGGCAACAGAAGGACCGTATTACACGGGGCCCAGTTTTATGGAAGCGTTCTTTTACTCCGTGAGAAACGTCAATGGCTCTGGCTATCTTTATTATCGTCCAAGGACGGGGGAGAATTTCAATAGCGTTCCGATTCGACAGGCTATATCGAGACGTTTTCTTTAAGATTCGTTTCCATGGATGCGAGGGGCTGTTCAGATCAAAGATTCCGCCTGGTCTCCGATCGTTTCCAGTATGTACAGGCCAACCATCACTTTTTAGTGACATTAACAGTGGTAGTTTCCTTGAAACTGCCCCTGCTCTGTGTACACCGAGGACATTTTTCGTTCGAGATCGTGGAAGATGCTGCGTAATGTGCCTCAACGATCGTTAAAACCTTGCATTCTAAAGAGAGGAATATTTCCAAAGGTTTTTCCTCGCTGGTTAGAGCGAAGAGGAGTATTTTAGATAGGAATATTTTTCAATGTCTCGGAAGTGTTTTAATGTACCGATTTCGATAAATATAGCGAGATGTGTCGTTCTATTCGCGTTTGATATTAGTTTCGAGGGAGAAATTTGGAGGATTATTATTGCCTGAGAATCGATGAAATTTTCTGTTTAACAAAATATAAAATTTGCAGAGTTGAAATGTCAGAAAACGAGAGAAATCTGAAATGCTGGGGACTGAGAATTCACAGAAATCCTTAGTCCCGAATTTTCTATTCAACCGAATACAAAATTTCCAGAGTTCAAATGTCAAAAAATGACAGGAATCTGAGAATTCACAAAAATTCTTATTCCAAAATTTTCTACTTAAAATAGAAAATTTGCGAACAGAAAATTACAGAAATCTCAAACACTAAAAATTGAAAATTCGCTAAAATTCTCTGCCTAACAAATCACAAAATTCCCGAAATACAAATGTCAAAAAGTGACAAAAATCACAAACACTAAAAATTGAAAACTCGCCAAAATTCTCAGCCCCGAATTCTCCACTTAACAAAACCCAAAATTCCCAAAATCCACGAACCAAAAATGACCGAAACCTCGAACGAAAGTAGCACAGTCTACTACATAATCTAAAAATATTCCGAGCACTTAACGAGAGACTAACATAAATCACAGGGTACAATAAACCCTCGAATCACTGATATCAGCGTAATAAAAAAAAAACAAAAACACCGCCTAACGAACAACTTACAGTTCCTTAAAATATCCGCAAGTTTCGAGTTTCCTTATCATTCGATACACGCGAAACGGCACGCACAAGGACGTGTACAAAAGTGTAGACGAAAAAAATTGAAATTCCGACGGAATAGGTAGGAAAGAAAGGGTTAGCTGGATTTGTACGTGGTCGCACGTGTGCCTCTCGCGAATATAAATACGCCGGCTAATTGCGAAACGGCGCCGATTTCCTACGATAACGTTAAAAGCTCCGAGAGACTCGCGTGCTACCTTCTAATTAGAAATTTCGATTATTAAGCTGAATACACGGTCCCACGGTAAACGCGATTCCACGGCATAATTAGAAACCATTGGATTAGAAGCTGAAACTGGCTGCGTCGCCGGAATAGTTTCGGATATTCGAACACGGGCCTCCACGAGCAAACTTTCTTCTTCTTCTTCTACTTCTTCTCTCGAGAGCTGGCAAACAGACAGACAGGCAGGCAGAACCACCGAGACTGTTTAATATGTAGCTTGAACTGTCCAGGAAGTTAGAATGATTGGTTTCGTGTTTTGTGAGAGAATTATTGGAATTTTTTGTTTTTTGTCGAGGACTTTTATGATCGCGAATAAATATTGCTCTTTTTCGATGCGAGTTTTGGAAGTTTTATACGATTTTTCTGTGAAGAACGTCGAAAATATATTATTTCTCCTATTAGCTTGTCAATTGTATTTTTTTGTGAACGATGGGAATACGTTTTTCTTTTTTTTATTATTTTATGACAGCGTGGTTTTTGAAGGTTTTTTGGAATTATTGGGTTGCGGGAGTTTTTCTGTGGAAAACCTGTCGCTTCTCCTATTACCTCGTAAATAAAAATAATTTTAAAATGGTTTAATTGATCTTTGGCAATTTGGAATTTTTCCAACATTCTTTCCCTCTCTTTTACTATTTATTCGTACATTTTCAACGATTTCTGTTTCTTCACGTATGACTGTTTATGTTGTGTAACAGGATAATTATTACTATTTATTTATTCAGGGTTTAATATATTACCATTAACGCTCTATTATTGAAAAAGTGATGCAGTGCGAGAAGTGTTTACGTAACAGGTTATCTGTTTGCACGAACCAGCTTCACGTAGAGCAGCACGTGGAAAATTTAATTAGAGATGACGCGTATAATTTATACTGCGCATTAATGTCTGAAA